TTGTTGGGCACCCCTATTTCAACATCTTTCATTACATCCGCAGTCACAACGTCCACTATGTATGTTCACGATGCGCACAGCACGTTAACTACGTGCAATGTTCCCCGAGACGTGACAGTAAAATTAGACTTAAGTCAACACCCGCTTGGACAAGTTCGTGTTGGTTCACATTTTCGGCTGAAATATCCCAGGAAAGGGAGGGAAGTACGAGGTGGAACTCCACGGAAGTTCATAAAAGAACTCACAAAAACAAACAGCACGTTCTCGCACTAGTGGGCTTAGCTGTTACTGTGTTCTTCACGAACAGACGTAATAGGCTATAAAATCCAACGAATTTAAAGCCAAAGTTTCAGGCAATGCAAGTCCATCGAGTCGGGAAGCCGGGTTCTGTCCTCCTGGCTACTCACACCTCGTTTTCTTTTCCATGGCTTTCAAGTGTTTTCAGTCCTCAGAAATAAATGCAAAAGAAAAGTGTTTGAGAACGAAGTGCTGAGGAGGGCAGGCCGCTGGGACCCCAGAAAAAATGAGGTGACAAGAGGATGAACCTAACCTCACAATTTGTTAATTACTCGTCGCCGGATATTATTAGGGCGACCAAATTAAGGTGTATGAGATGGGCGGGGGAGGGCATGAGAAATGCATAAAGCCTGAGAGGAAGGACCATGTGGGAGAGGATAATATTAAAATGGATCATGTGAAGGTGCACACGAATTAAAATGGCTCAGGACTGGGAGCAGTGGCGGGTTCTTGTGAACACGATAATGCACTTTCGGGTTTCATAAAAGGCTTGACTGTCCGGGTGACATGTTTTCAGGAAGGAGTCGTTCCCAGCGAGAGCCTCACTCTCACCTGATAGTAGGCTACCTGTTAAGCACAGCCACCAGACTCGTAACGCGCCAGCAAAATTGACTGATACGTCGTTCTAGAGATTTCAAAGAGTGGTCCAGCGTTGCAGTTTCAAGGTTGAAGCGATGCTAATTGCATCACGTGGCTGCGTTATGTAATCTGCCGAGCACCAGATTGTTAGCAATGCCCGTACGTAGCCAATAAGCATATGCAAATAGTTATCAGTTCTTGAAACGCTCAAAGCAAGGGCAGAATCTATTTGTTTCGTCACTTCCCGTGAGGCAATGAATCTTCTGTTCTTGTCTTCAAAACTGGACATGAAAAATATACACATTCTGATTCCTGAAGACTGCGGCTTCTGATGGCCGAAACTACTGTCCAGTATTTCGGTCCATTCAAGGCATTTATATACACGTCGATGCACCCTTCTGTCAGTTTGTTATATTTACCCGGACCGCATCGGGGAGATGACCAGTTCTGACAAAATTTTAGTCAGAGAAGCAAGATGTCGGATGCTGTTACAGAACTGGATTCACCTGGCTCAGGGTAGGGACACGTGACGGGCCCTTATGACCAGTTCAATGATTATTAGGTTCTCAATGAGGGCTCATTCGTACAATAT